ACATAATAGCGAGTAGGACCTGAATAAATTACTTAAGAGTGCACTATTATAGTTGATGGTATAAAAATAAACTATAAACTATAAAGATAATGTCGTTTTGTCTATTTACTTGAATATGAAATTGTTATATACCATTTTATTACCATATTATTTTAATTATTTTGTCAATGATTTTAAACTTAAATTAAAATTAAATGAAACAAAAATGTGTAATACTTACTTTTATTTTTCCATTGCAACTTTTACTAACTAACTCGTTTGATTTCTTATCGTAAACAAAATATTTATTAACGCATAACACAATATGACGACCCATAATTTTAATTTGATACTTTTAAACTAATAAAGGTAGACTGCGTGTTCATACGTCAGCGACTAAATAGCAAATATAGCAAATTCACCACTGAACACCGATATTCGATAATAACTAATAACGATAATACGACAAGCAGTTACAGAATCCTGGTGTGACGTTGCAATTAATGTATTATCAGCAAATGTATCAAGGAAGGTGAAGAGTGTTTTTGGGATGTCGTGAGTGAACACAGAATAAAGAAAAGGGGCGATGTTACTACCTTAGGGGACACCTGCGCTAATACGATAGCTGTTTGAGTAATTATTTTTTAGACGAACCTTAAAAAAGCAGCCAGATAGGTACAATTTTATTAATAGGAAATATGGTGCTGGGAAAAACTTTTTTAGTTTGAAAAGTAGCCCTCATGCTAGATCCAATCAAAAGCCTGTGAGATGTCCAGAAACACAGTGGGGCAAAATTATTTCTTCTCCAGTGCGATGAAGTTGGTAGATAGTCGAGTGATGGGATCTGAAACCAAATTGAGTGTGTGAGATGATATTATTATAGCTTCAGTGGCAATGGGGATGAATCTTTTTAAGAGAAATTTTTCAAAGATTTTCGAGTAATTTGGGAGAAGACTTATCGATTTGTATGATCAGGGTCGGCGAGAGGGTAGGGCAGGGAGGGCTAGAGCCACGGGGCCCATACGCCTGAGAGGGCCCGTTGTTTCAGCCTTGTGTACAATGTTTTTGTTGTACCAAAGCATGTACAAGTGGTCTTGGTGCGTCTTAGTCAAACAGTTGCAAATGGAAGGGGGCCCGGAACCCCTGCAGCCCCAGGGCCCTCAGAAGTTCTCGTCGGCCCTGTGTATGATGCTAGGTTTTCAGGAGGTTTATTTGGCTTGAGAATGAGTATTACTGTAGAGTGCTTCCAAGTGTTCGGAAAGAAAGATAATCTTAGTATTGCATTGTAAAAGTGAGATAGGTACTATGGCTTTACGTGGTAGGTTTTTTACTGTATAATTCGTTATTAGGTCATGATTTGGAGATTTTTTGGCAGGAATTTTTTTAATTCTTCATTTCCAACCAATGTTTTTATTTGGTTGTAGAATATTTGTTAGTTGACTTGTGTAGTAATAAATATTGGTGGAGGGGTTGGTGGTTGGATGACATAGTTGGTTTGCATTTGGCCATTTTCGATATATTTTGTTTATTCCTCTATGACGTTGAGTGCTTTGTAGTAGATGGGAGTGTTGTAGGTAAATTTGTTATGGTTTTTGTTGTTTACTTTTGATGTAGGTGAGTTACCTGGGGATATAGAACATTTTCCAGTTTTGATTATCCAATCTTTGCTATTAGTTTTTTGAGTGTTTTGAGTGTTTTCAGCTATGACAATTTTTAATGATTTCACTTCATCACTTGAGCCGCTCTGTATACTGTTGCATGCGGAGGACTGGTTGTTGATAAGCGTGTTATTCTTAGGCGGCATTGCCCCGCGGAGATAACTACGATACCAAGGTCACGTACGAGTACGCTTAATAGATATCGGTCTAATTAGTTTTAACACTTATTTGACCGTATAGGTTTTCACTTACAGCCGACATAAATGACAGTTTTATGTAAATTCGTGGATCGATTTCCTTGAGATTTTGATCAAAGTAAGAATAAAATCGGTTACGAATTGCACTAGATATTGTATGCATGTTGCAGAGCAATTTACAACGATGTGTATTGCTACGCTGACCACAGTGGAATGACCATATAATTTAAAAACAGTTATTATATACACTCAAAATATAAATTTGAACAACTATAGTGGTTACTCTAAATTTCATTTGACTATTAATCCCTTTTACGGAGATTTCAAAATCATATTTTTAAATCCAGATATCAACTTAAAAACAAGAATCATTACGTTTTCTCAACCGCTTACCACCGCGATCGCATTAAATCCAAACCGCGGACGCCTATAGAATCACCGTCAGCGTTCAAAATTATTAATTTATTAATACACATTTACAGATGCGCATGACTGTACAATACGAAACAAAACACGGAGCGTTGAGGCTATGACGCAATTATTCAGAGTTAATAAACCCGTGTGTGCGCGCGTAAATTGAATTATTTATTTTACACATCAAATAATATTACCGTACGTGATACCGTAGGCGGTCGTGTCTGCCACGTGCATTATGAACATTGTGTGCATAACGCGAAGTTTTAACTGAAAATTTATTATAGTTACGGAAAATGCAGTTGCAAAGGGAATCACGGGGGTAACTTTAATTTTTAACAAGCGATGACCAAGTGATGCCAAGCATGGGTTAACTATTGATGGAGCAGTTTCTTCGTGAGTGGATTGATCGATCGGAACGGAGATCTATACGTCTACGATGTGACTGACCTAGGAGTCGATCCGTTGGCCAACTATAGGCGTATTTTAGGAGGCGAAGGGACGACCCCCCCCTGAATTCGTATTTAAGGATTTATTATTAAGGATATTATATGTGAGATATACATTTCAAATTTTTTTAATGTGGATGATTTTATAACGAAATCAAATTACGCGTGGCTGTGAATATTGAATTGGGCTTTTTGTCGGGTCCATACTTAGTGAAAAATCAAATAGAACACAAGCGTAAATTTCAAAACACAGACTGGTGTTAAAAAAGAACTATACAAAGTCGATTCAAAGTGGATCTGACACTAGATTAAAAAAAAAAAAAAAACATAAATATTAAGGATTCACCTGATTTAAATATTATCAATAATTTTATTTGTAAATTTTAAACCTAAAGTAAAGAAAAAAATGTTGTCGCCCCCCCCCTAGAAGTAAGTCTAAATATACCCTTGTGGCCGACCATAACTCGACGGATGACTTTTGTCCGCCGACACCGCTACTACCGACCGACAGGACGCCCGCCCACAACTCCCTATCAGCCGTTCGACCGCGGCACAACGAGTGTTCTCTGTGTTCTGCGGCCTCGCGTTTTACAGCTATGATAATACGTGTACAAGATCGTTGTTCAGAGTGAAACGTCATTGTTAGTCGCTATTAGTTACTAGTTCAAGTTGGACATTGTACGAGTTCACAATTCAAAGTTTAGTTGATTTTAACAAAGCTACTAAACGAGGTAGTTTTATTGTTTTTTTTTTTATTATATTAAAAGCTTTTAATCAGCTTATTAACGTTAAGTTAATTTTTTTTGTGGAAGTGCTGAACGCTCTATTTCTTGACAGTGGCATATAAGAGAGGGAGAGGGCGTTAAGAGCAATCGCCCCAACCCATCAATCGATATGCTAGTGTAGGTATTTGCTATATAATTAGCAAGATTACCAATTGTTGATTGTTATTTTAAATAAATATTGTTTTTTAATACCTAATGTATGTTGTGTATTTAATTTATGTGTCTACGACCCTTAACATTTTTAGGAAGTTTTCAAAAATGATATTATGTAAATTTTAAAAAATGTACCGGTATTAGGTTCAAAAAATATTGTTTTAACTCCCAAGGTAGATCTAGGATTTTTTTAGCGAAAGGTAAAATAAATATAGCCTTTAACCTTCTTGAGTGGGATTTTATTACTCCCTTCTTCCATAAAGTTAAGTCAGATATGCCACTGTTTCTGGATCTTAATATAAATCAAAATAACGTGCATAATAACTCATAGATATAGCTTTTTTATAAATACTTGTATCATAATATCATTCAGTAAAAAAAAAGCTTATATTTAACAAAGATAAGTATTTTTTTTTCTGTGAAACTTTTCTCTTTTATAAGTATATAGAAAATATAAGTAACTTTTAACTTGACTTAAATTTGTCTAGATTAACTTAATTTTAATGAGTTGTAAGCTTATTTACTCCGTTTATGCATTTTGCCTGTTACCTTAGAACGCGATGTTCGTTGTTATTTACGTTTAGTCGTTACTTGGGTACGGTTTATTTTGTATTTCGAAGTGCTAATACGCAACTGTTCCTGTGGAATAAAATTCACCATAATCAATGAAAATCAACTGGTCGTCAACAATTTTCAGACGGAATTTTATATCGTTTTTTTATTCTATCGAACTACAATAATTTTTATTTTCTTTATCGCAATTTTAATCCGATAATGGAGTTAACAATTTTTATTAATGTTGGTAAAGTTATGATAACGTTTGAACGGCAGCCAACTGTATGATTAATATTTTAATAAAACGTTATAGCGTACGAACAAACATTTTTTTTTTTAATTTCGTTTAATTATCATTACTAGATCGGAAGATTCAGATAGAATGCAACTATATAGACATTCAAACACGCTGGGGAAATATATACGTAAAATTCAAAATTTACCAAAACATCTGTTGTTTTTGAATCGGAGCAAAAAGTTTGCACACTGTAATCGGTGTTACCGATTCAAGGATAACTTAATTACCTGTCATTGACGTTGATTTATGTTGGAGATCAGTGACCTCTGAACATTTAGTTTTTCAGGTAGACCGTGATTAAATCACTCAAAGTCTTTTGTTGATTAAATGGTAGTCCTTTATACAGTATTAAGCGTGTGCATATATTATACGTGTCATATATGATTCATAAAGCATATGAAATTATGGTCTATTACATTTTCTATTTTTTTTTTTTTTTATCAATAGGTGTTTTTAACTAAGCGATTTAACTGAAATAAACCTAATCAAATATGATATTAATCGTTTTTCAGAAAACGGCTTCATGACAATAACTTATATTTTCAAAATCCTTAACCGACTTCAGCATGAGAAATCATAATGGACAATCTCAATGACACTTGGTCACCAAACGAAGAAGTAAGAATTTTGATAGTAATTCTAATAGAGTAACCACTGATACTCCCAGTTGTTATCATTTGGACATTCGTGGTTATAACCGCGGTATCGAAATCTTAACCAATAACACTTATAATAATTTTTAATGATTCATATTGACTATTGAAGAACACGATTTCATAGGTATCGAATTCATCACATTACGTGAACATGAACTTTCACATTTCGTTGCATACAATTGGTTTGTTATTTATGTTTAGGCTGCTGTAAAATGCAGGTCTTGGTACGATTTGGATGATCATTGGAACGGGTGTAACGCATCGTCAGATACGCTGATATGTTGGCCACCTACCGCCGCTGGTGTGATCGCCTATCAGCCGTGCTTTCGCGAACTCAGAGGACTAATATACGACACTACTAGTAAGTAAAAATAACGAACATTTTATTAGTTACATTTTTAGTCATGTACGTAACGATTTTGGTGTATAACAGTAGTACACAAGAATACTGAGATATTCAAATGATAAGAAATATGAAAATGAAAAAATATTTTAATACGACTGTTGTAACGAGCACAGTCATTGTTGTTATTAATATTGTTTGTATTATTTATTGTATTTCATTATTATTGGAACCATTTAGAACAATCGCCACTTTCGCTATGTCTCGCCATGGCTCTCCGTCCAATTATAGCTTTTCTCCGTCCCTGAATCCTTGAATCTTCAGATATTCTTTGACACGGTTGTCCTCTCGTTCTGGCTACCACATTGTATACTAATCAGGCATTCGTTCTCCACCCATGTCCTGCCCATCTAAGCCTTCAGCTTCTTAGACCGCCAACTATATCGGTTTTATTAAATAATTCCTTTAGTTCCGCGTTCTTTCGTCGTCCGTATTCATTGTTTTTAGTATTCTTTAGTATTAGAATATAGTTTTACTTCAGACCACGGTAATTATTTCTGTAAATTATTGATATTTTAATGATTTTCATTTAGAATAACTATTTAAAGTCATATTTATTTAATTGAAATAATTAAATCACTCCATAATAGTCTCCTTGTAAAATCAAATCGTCTAAGCTGATGAGTCTCTATGAATAAAATTAAGACACATTACTTGAATAAAAAAAGTATCTTGAAATATTTGTTTAGTTTTGTTTTAATGGGAACTGTTATTTTTATTTCGAAATATAAATATTTTAATTCAATGTTAATATGTAAATATATTTCATATAAATAAATAAATTAATGATTTAGTCAATGGAATTTCATTTAGAAATTTTATTTTGAAACATGGTACATAATATTTTCTTTGGATGATAATATGAACATTTTTCGATACATTTTTATTCGTTCCTGAATATGTCTATAGAAATAACGTGCACGTTAAATTTCCTAAAACTCTATTTTAATAAATTAAATTTTATTCAAACGATTGAAAAACAAAAATAAATAACCGTAAACATAAATAGCAGATTAATTTAAATGATACAAACATTAAAACGCATTTATGAAATGAATATAGTAAATTTATTAAATACTGAAGTACAGTATAGTACTGTATATAATCATCCAAAGAAAATATTTTGAACAATAAATTTGCTCTTATGATTACTATAATTAATGCTCAAATTCTTAACTGGTTTGTAGACCATAATTAGGATTGGTATGTAACTAATATGACTAAAATCCTATAGGATAAATTTAACTCTAAATAAACTATCTACGAGTCGTTTTGAGAATATGGTTTTCAACAACTGTACTTAAAATATTTCATTCTAATACTTTGGGACAGATAATTTGAATCGATTATGGCCTCTTTCACACTAGCCACTCATCAACGCTGCTAGCAACGCCTTTGTGATGCTGCTAATGTGCACCGGTAGTCTTATGAATACCAGAACATATAGAATATTTAAATAACATATACCAAAAATAACAGCAAAAAACAATACAAAAGTATACCACTGACGCTAACCATTAAAATTTTCCACCCATATAGTCGTATCAGCGTTTGGGAACATTCGCCAACACCGATGACTAGATTATTAGGTTTTCCCCGATAAAAACTGATCCATGAATAATCTCGAACGCCAAGAAAATATATAATGCAATTAAGATGAATAATAACCGTTGAAATCGTTTGATTGAACGCACATTAATCGCGTATGACTAAAGTGCCACAAAAGCACCACAAATTTTCTACCACTAAACGCATTGACTAAAATAGTCGCGCGATTGCAGTCGCGTGTGAAACGTCTAATCTGAAACTGTGTTTTATTACGAGGATCTACTTTTAGAGGCCACGTTCTGCGGTGAAGTTGACCACCGGACATTGCATGTGATTCTTCCAGTCTGTAACTTTGGTTTTGCGTGAAACCATTTGTATGTTTAATGTTTTTCCACCAGCAGTGCTTCCGAGAAGCACTGCTGAACGGTTACGTGTGAAAGAAGTGTGTGATTGAGTTATTCATAAACGTTCATGGGTGATGGATCAATGTTTAAAAAACTATTATCTGATCAAATTGTTATTGTTGTAATACTTTACTCTAACACAACTAATACAGTGACTTATCGATAAAAACTTCTGTCCAACAAGTCTAACTGTACATATTATTTTCATTTCTTAATTACTACCATATGCTTTTGCAAAGGTATATTAATTGATTCTATTAATCAAGTTTTATTCCGAATACATTTCATTTTACCAAGGTTAACTTAGTAAACCTGGTGTATTTAAGTATTTTTTTTATTTTTTTTTTTTTTTATTAAAATTATTTTAAAATTATCTAATAAACTATAATACTATAGTAGTCATATTCAGTTAACTACAAATTGTTAGTTAATAGTTTAATAAGTTATGTAATTTAGTTAGTAGTTATGTTAGATTTTAGCCAATTAAAAAAATCTTAACCATATTTTATGTACCTTAATTTAACGAAGGTATTCCATTTTATGTAAGTCTGTTAAAAAATTACAAAATAATATTGATCAAGTTTTTTTCGCTTTATTTTAATTGATTTGAGCAGTTTATTATGTATGAAAATAAATTTAAATTAAGAAAATTAAACGAATTTATTATATTAATATATTGCACAAACGATATTATTGATTTTCTCAAAGTCCAGAATAAATGCACTACCATGTATTATATTATACACCTAATACCCAATAAATAATTTTAATTTATAAAAGTTTTTTGATTAAAATGCATCGAAAACTTATCGAAACCCAATCGGTCAAGTGGAAATCCATTTATACCATTGCATATTATTTCTGAAAATTAGTTTTTGTTTTATATACGAGTATACCATACAAACAACAATTATCATTATCAGTAGTACTATTTTTAATTAAATCGATTGGCTTTTAATTCAGAATACTATATTTAGTCCAAGAAACCCGAATTAAATGATAGTACAAATTTTTATTATATACAAATTTTAAATATTATTTCTTTATTATTTCGAGCTAATACTTAAGAGTCCAAGCGATGCATTTTTGTACACAGGTTAAAAATAAATAAAAACTTAGTCACAAGAAAGTTTTTATGAAACAAAAAAATGAGTTAATTATTATGGGCTCAATGAATATTTAATTAAATTGAATTATTCGAGTATTTGAATATCAGTATTTGACATTACAATATCAGTATTTATCAAAAATAATAATAATAATAATAATAATAATAATAATAATAATAATATTTGAATATTAGATGCTATTGTTAAATATTTATGGAATTTTTATCTTAAAACTTATGATTATCGCGTCAACTGGTTCATGACTTATATGTATTCGAAATTGTATATACTTTTCTATATCCTATATTGGTATGACGTATATATATATTGTATGCTTCTAATCCGTAAATAACCTTTCAAATTTCATTTTCATGAAATAATCTAGTATATTTATTATCATTAGTCAGTTTTTTTGTTATTTTGTTGTTATAATATATTAATATACTAAACTGTCAATATTCTGTTTTCAAGAATTTTTTTTAAAATTATACCTATATAGTATTCCTAATCTTTTACATAATCTACTAAAAGGGTAAAGGAAAAGGGATACGTGACCAATGGAGCGATAACTGGTTGGCGAATTAACGAAATAGTATAAGACTTCGGATGGAAAAACAGCAAAAAAAAAGTTATTGTAGAAGTTGTCGAATACTGATATCCGAATATCTGAATATTCAAATTATTCAACATAATACTATTTGAATTGGAATAACCGAGTACTCGAATATTTGAATAATTCCCATCATTAATAATTACATCTGTATTTTATTAAATTTTTTTTTTTTTTTAAAAAAAATCCGGTAATTCTGTTGTTTTAATAATTCGGAAACCTTGACCTTTATGAAAATTATAATTAAAATAATGAACAAATTGTAAAAAAAAAATCACTTTTAATAAAATGTATAGTTCTGTTATTAAAACTTAATAATTTAATAAAAATAAATAAATTTCACTGCGTATATCGTAGCATTAATACTCGTAAATAATGAATGACTATTTTTTATGAGCATTTAAACGCTATATATAAACAGGTCTCGATTCAAAACTCATCAAATTTCTACGTGTCTCTAAAAACTTTGTATTTAGCGGTCTTTTATTTTAAATGAAATACGTGAGACATCCATATATATGAGAACATTTATTTACACAATATTAGTGTATGGTCCATCCATAAAAATAAATTAAATTCATTTAATACCAATATTTATTAATATATATATATATATATATATAAAGAATTATTTCAAAAACCGTTAAAATCATAGCAAAAAAGTTGAACAGCATTCATAACCATAATTTTTCATCAGTAGGCTCGTTCTTGACAACTAATAGAACAAGTTAAGTATAATATATTCCATAAAATTATACATTTTATGATACATTTATGCAAATTTATTATACTCAAATGTAATATACAAAAAACAAAAACAGTTTAAAATTCTAACAGCTTCTTTGTGTCGCCCGGAGTCTTATAAATATGCAAAATATTGTATAACAAACCGTATCAATGGAAACCAACTGAAACCCCTTCATCCATACGAGTGAAAATGTGAATAATAAAAGGTTTAATTTTCTAGGAATACGCCGAACAGAATATTGCATTGCACTAGTTATTTGTTTTATGCGTGGGAATTTAAATTCAACATGGCCTCACGACAATTATATTATTTTACTATTTTACCATATAGTTAGCTAAAGTATATTGATTATTTGTAATGGAAACTTAAAATAAAATTCAGCTTCTACATAGCAAAGCACATAATACATTCGTTTGATCGAAAAATTATCGTAACTAACAATTATAGTACTTACGTTATGTTAAATTTTAGAAAAAAATAATTTTCATAACTAATTATTAGTGAAATATTTAAAAAACCATTATTAGATATTATAACATTATTTATTGCTAGGCGAATACTTGAACTACCTTATTCGTATTATTATAATCGTACTTTGAATAAACATTTATCATAATAATATTATTGTAAACATCATTTTTATTATGTTTCAAAATTTTATTTATAAATTTGTTTTATCATATTATAACACTACGTGTTTATTTCGAGACAAATGAATCAAACACTGTGATTAAAATACAATATTGTGTAAAAAATATGTACTTCAAAACGCTCATCGAAAAATAAAAGAAATTTTTTACTGGTGACTATTCTAATGAATAATGATTAACTTTTACGGGAAAACCATTGCATTGTCAGATAATCTGCCCCGACTGGCAATACTACTCGTCATAACGTTTAACTACTACATTCAGGTTCAATAAAATATGAGTTAATACAATTTAAAAATTAAAACATTTTAATATTCGATTGCTTTCCTAAAAAACCTATTTACCCTTTATACTTTTCCTACCGAGAGGTATTAGAATATTATACTTTTAGGTTTATAGTTTTTACTATACTTAAATTATTAATTCAACTGTAATATAATAATATCAAATTGAGTTTATTTTTTAATATTGTCAAACTTTACAGCTATCTTATAAATTGGTAATTTTTTTTATACAATGACGTAGAGTATGGTAGTTTTGCAGATTTTCTTATATTAAATTAATAAAGTTAAGCTAAGTTTAATAAAGTTTAATAAAATTAAATGGCGTTTCGGTTACAAATTATTAAAAATAATTTTTCTACAGAAATATTGATGGAAGGTCTCAAAAAATACTATAGTATATTGTGTTCAAATTTGCAAACAAAAATTAATTTCCTAATGGGAGTAGAATATAGTTTATACCAAAATATTTTTACAAATACATCCTAACCGTATTGTTAAATGATAAATTTTCTTAAATTAAAATAGTTTAAAGGTATTGGGAAAATATTTGTATTTGGTTGATTAGAACGCATGTGCTAGTATTGTATTTCGTATTGAAATATAAAAACGTGAAAAACTAATCAATGATTTTTATAGTTTAGAACTCGTATGGATTTTGGATCACCCACGTTGTAATTGTATGAAGCTTTTGTTTTCGGACATCCTTTGATGTAGTGATTTAGATCCTGTTCGTCTAGACGCGTGCACTAAAAGAACAAATACATAGAAAAGGTCGACGTTAAATATGATGTGCAGACTGTTTTTTGTTTTCGTAGAGCCCCGGGGTTTACGACTATCTGAAATTTTCGAAATATTCCTTTGTTATTATTTAACGGTTTTAAACTGTATTAAGTTTACAATGTGTACGATTTTCGGTTACTGTTGATTAAAATTCAACATCTCGCTACTTAATAGGAAATGTGATTCTTAATCAACTTGTAATTCTTTATCTGATGAACATCAACGTTTCTAAAATGTATGGTTTATTTATGGAATGTACTATTCTTTGGTGATACGAATACAACTTCAACTTAAAAACTCATTCGCGTTTGACTAACAGTATGTTTCATTACATTGGATTCTCTACATAGCTGTTAATTTAACAATATACCGATCTGTTATGCCACTCGTGTGCTATACCCTGAAGTTGACTGCTTTTCTCGTTATTAATTTTTCTATAATTCTTATTCACAATGACATATCAACATTACTTATATCTATTTGCTCTTGTTTAGTAATAATATTTGTTGTAATAGTAGTGGTAGAATGGTTTACTTGTATCAATTTTACGACTTTATAAGATTTAATATACGACATAAAATAAAATATAAATAATATAAATCATATTACACATAAAAATTTAATACATTTTCATTTATTATACATTCATATTTCTGAATAACGTTTATACGACGGTATTAAGAAAAGTAACTATAATTAAATACGAATAAATTATAATAATTTACAAAGTCCAATAATATCTATGTACAATTGTATTACTCAAGGACAGAAGCATTTTTTCGTTTTTTTCATATAATAATATTATGATTATTTTTTTGTTTTATTATTATTTAGAAAACGCAAGTCGGATATGCTACGAGAACAATACTTGGGGCTTAACTGATTACAACGAGTGCACGATTCTTAAAGATCCTAAAGAAATGGTTTACGAAGAAGAGGACACCGTGGACACAATAATTTATTTGTATATAGCTGGTCATTGTTTGTCACTGGTTATGACATCATTAGCCATTTTTGTGTTCTCTCGATTTAAGTAAGTTATTAGCAAAACATATTTCAGAAGGAAAATTTATAGTAAAATGTATTATATTAACTTTAATTATTTCATAGAGAACTAAAATGTTTGCGCAACAAAATCCACTCAAATTTGATGGCATCGTACTTATTGGCTGGCATTATGTGGATACTCAATTACACAGTAGGTTTCCTAGTTTATAGTATTTTTTTTTTTTGTGTTTGGGGTTTTTTTTTACAGTATAAACTTCTAGGTTATATTTGCAAAAAACATTCATTCATTAATCAATTTACATTTAATTATTATTGTTTGTATATTTCTTCACGAAATGAATATAAAATATTTAGAATTATTTTCATAACTCAATCCGTTTGAGGATATGTTGTCATTAAAAATGGATTATTATTACTAATTATATAGGACATTTCTGAAGAAAAAAATGTAAATATATGCTCAATGTTACATAAATAATTATAAGAAAATAAATAATAATATTCTAGTTATACAAAATTAATCTAAAAGAAACACATTTTCTAATCGTAATTTATATGTTAAATAAAATGTACGATTAAAAGAACATTCAAAATTTGTAGTTATAAACATTTTAAATGATTATAATTGCAATATAAAATGATTGTAAAAATATTTTGGAATAATACAAAGGTAATTGAATGTAAAATAAATAAATAATTTGTCATTTAAACTTATTATTTAAGTTAATTTCCGGAAAATAGTCATTCAACTGATAAAAAATGTCAATATCATTGAAATAATTAACACATTAAATCTTGAATATGGACTTTTTCATTCAATATTTTAATGTTTTTGTCTATACAACTTAATGACTTTGAACAATAAAAATGTTTTAATAAGCATTTTGTAAAAAATAATAATTAAATATGCAAATTGTTAGATTGTAGAAGATTGTAGAAATTCAAATATTAAATTTAAAAATAATTACACGAATAATACATATATATAGTTGTTATTTAATATTAAATAACAATTGTGGAAAGTTTTAGTTTAATTTTAGTTTAATTCGAAAACGTTTATTTTGCAGAACTTGACCGACACGGGCACATTTAAATGCGCATTGTTGGTATTACCACTTTACTATTTCACCATGACGAATTATTTTTGGGCATTTATTGAAGGTAAACATCATAATATGAACTAAATTAACAATACTAATCCTAAAATAACAAACGTGCTCTTGAGAAGCAGAAGCAAGTGTTCCTATTTTTAATTTTTTTTTTTTTAATTTTTGGTGAATTTTGTTTTGATGGAATGACTAACTACCGTCAAATAGCTTAATGTATTGACTTGCGAACCCAACAATTGCTTCAATATTACATTATACATTATCTGATCATAACATCAACAGCTAACTATAGATTAAATGATTAACTAGTCTTAATATAAATAAATTATCTATTTTCAGGAATGTATTTATTCATATTAGTAGTGGATACATTTTGTTCAGACAGAGTACGGTTACGGTCATATATGGCGATTGGATGGGGTAAGTTTTATCAAGGTTGTTTGCTATTGATACACAAATATTATTCGAATAACTGCTGAGTATTTATTTAATTAATTAAATTAATAATCATATAAATTGTAAATAGTATAAATGTGAAAAGTATAATGGCAATATGACTAGAATTGAATTATTGTAGTGCCTGGAACACATAAACACATATATAACCAAACCAATTATTATAAAATATATAATATTAAAAATGTACTAACAATAATTTATAAAAAATAATTAAACATTAAAAATTAAAAATATAAATAAAACATAAAAAATAAAAGTTCTTGCCTAATATAATTAGTGTTTTTTTCGTCCTTGTATTATTGTTATTTTTAAGTTTTTTTCTTAAACTGTTCTTATTATGAATTATATTTTCAAAATTAAATTATTTTTCACAGTAAATTAGTTATAACGTGTTTATATATTATAATAATTTATAGTACTATCATTTTTTATAGTTGAATGTAATTACTTCAATGGAAAAATACAACCAATCGATAGCATCAAACTAAGAAAATATGATATTAGGAATCACTAATGAGGATCCGTTATGTACGGTTGCAATTTGATTTATTCACTCGATCAATATTCATTGGTCTTATTAATGTAATAATATTTACATATTATGATTAATAATATGTCAAATATATAATAATCATATTGGTCGAATGGCAATAATTTATAAGTCACTTTTGTATATGGCTTTTACACATTCTTCTACGACCCCTAAAATAACGCAGTTGCGCCATAGATTCAAAGTATAATTCTATATATTAATTTAAAAAAATTGCATAAGCACCTTTGCAATACGTGTTCGAAAGAGTTGAAAATAACTGTAAACACATTTAACATGCTTTATACATTTATGCATATACATTTCTAAAACACATTGTGAGAAAAACTTTGAAAAGGATGTAAGTCGTTTCCAAAACTTTATTTTAATAGATAAAACATTTTCTTGTTAGCATCTTATTGTATAAACTTGAATTCGTGTTTCAAATCGGCAATATTTCTGAATGTCGATAATTTAGCTTACACCTTCAAATTAAAATATATTTTAGTTGATTTTTTATAGCCATTTAATTTTTTGTAATAGTAGACCTTATGATTATAATTATTATTGACTCACCTACCTTACTTAATACTTATATTTGGTTATAATAACAAAATAATTTATTTTTTTCTCTAACCCATAACTTTTGTATTTTCATCATATATTTACAATTAGTAAAATTCAATTAATTGTTAGTTTCAGTCGTATATGGAAAATACACGATAAGTGACTAGTATAATTTAGTACTACGAGTATACACGTTATTATAAATATGGACATCTTACGTAATATTTAAAATATATTTTTAACTAATAATTTAAGAACATAAAATAATGTTATGTGTCAAAATATATTTTATGTCACCCGTTCTGTCATTAGTGTACTTTATTGAAGATTGTTATATATTCAATCCAAACCAACGGTTCTAGATAAATTAGAAACCATTTAGCGGGTTGGTAATTCGATTATGTTAAACTTAATTTGCTCAATAATTTAATAGAATACGTCACGTTAAATAATATACTCGTATACCATTAACTATTCAGATTTATGACAATCAAATAGTTGATTCAAGAGTTTTCGATGTTCATTTAATTAAGGTTTGTTCAACACAGTAGTAAAGGTAAACAAAATAAACGAAATGTAAAATGATTTAGATGTTTGAAACAATAGCAACATTATTTGGATTTATACCGGAAACACTAAAGAACTACAAATAAATCCTATGGGTCGTTTAAGAACACATTGCCGAAATATCACGTCATGACAGTGTTATCTATTTAGCCTTTTCTGTGTCATTTGTTTAATAATCTGAGTCGTGGGCTGTAGTCGTTTTTCGTACTAAGACTGAACTACTGACCATTGTTTAATAGCTTGTAGTTTTTTACTGTTATCAAGAATATTACTTCGAACGCAATTGCTCAGTATTTATAGTGAAAGGTACTCGGTCTGCTCGAACGTAGAAGTCAAATACCGGCGATTATTAAATGAAGTGTGCCTGCTAATGCGTGTTCCATGTGCAAATATATAGGAGAAGAAATCTGAGAGAGAGAGAGAGAGAGAGAGAGAAAAGTAGTAAATTTTCCGTAGCATCACATGTACTTATTTTGGACATCGTATGTTTCGTTAAAGTAACCCATATACATTTGGTAGACGTCCAACATTTTCTGCGGTGTACTTTATGTGGATATCCAGAAAATAATTCTATTTACCGCGCAATTAACCTTTTGTGGTCCTTTATCAATGCACAAATAAAGTATACCAAAAACTATGGGCTATGTCTAACACATCTCTACAGCTTTCTGTACTCATTAATCGTAATAAATAACCGTTGGTTTTTACAAGCTGTTGTGACATTAGCCAAACAATTAATTTTCAATAGTTAATCGCGAAAAAATTCCAAAATTAAAATATAAAAAAAAAAAAAATAATAAGACAGTTATTTCAGGCATTTAATTTTGATTAAATTATTTTTGTTCACAGTTATACAGCATATGAAATATTTATGTGGTTAGTAAATAGTAAAGATCTTAAGTGATCAACATTATATAATATCTAAAAATATTTTTAATTCAATGTATTTTTTTTTTCTAAATCATTTGATTTTAAAAAATTTATTCGGATTTACAATTTTGATATTAGAAATTATGATATATATTTTGGTAAATTGCAATAGATAATCATATTTTCGTCTTAAATATCTGCATGCCTACTGAAGTTCATTTGGATATTAAAAACATCAAAACAATCACTTAGCAAATACTCGATCGGATCAGAAAGGATTCCCAGATAAAACAAAAACACTAATTTATATAGGAATGGAAACTCGATAAATGTACTGGAATAAGATTTTGTAATTAGTAATTTAACTGTTATATTTTTATTTTATATACTACTAGAATTTTATAGCTAACAGTATAATTACATTTTAAATCAAGAAATCTCTTCAGTGAGAACTCTTTATAACCAAATATAACAATGCGTGTTGTTGCTTGAAAGTAATAAACCAATGGTTTCGAGAAATAATCAAAATACTAATCTGTATTTCGTACGAACTCGTAAAACTTCATAAGCCATTATTTGGTGTAGTTTTTAATAGTATATTTTTCATACTTTTTTTTTATTCCATAACAACCATAGTTATACTATAATAGTATTGAAAAATACCTATATTTTAAGAACAATATTTCACATGATTTTTCACATAAAACCTACATAATATGTTTGACTTTACTGGTTACTGAACAACAAAATTTATAAGTTCTACAAAATTGTATAATATTAACAGTAGTAAATTGAATATTTCATTAATTGTTTAAATACTAATGGGTTTGAACTCTAAAGTATTTATATGTTTCATGCAGTTTAGTCGTAGTTAAAAGCGTCCACCAAATTGTTATACACCATACTCAATACATTCACATACATATATATCACATATACTAATAACATAAAATTTACTACAGTTATTCTTACAAACCACTTCAATATTTAATCAATTTTGCCACTTGCATGCATTCTGCACTTGTATAAACGACAATATAAATTGGTATAATGTATTAAAATTAATTTAATAATTGTTTCTTAATAGATATTGAATTTTGAATTCACTTTTTCTTATTCTTTTCTTCTTGTATTTCTTCGAATATAACCACTCGATATTTCAACGTAATTTTTGCGTTTGCTTACTTACACTCATCTTAATTTAAGTGATTAAAGCGATGCAACAACAATGGGTTTAAATGACTTTCACCAGCGGGTAGTTTGATTGAATGTCATACGTCCATTCATACTAAAATACAATGCACCACATTTAGCATATTATAAATGTATCGAGGGAAACGGTTAACCGTGATTGCTACTCTATTCAACACTAACTCTCCTATAAGATCTATGAAAAATCTATCTCGTGTCTTATACCGCTCGAATGGTTCCACATAATTGCATTTGGTCGTACGTTTACAAACCTTAGTACAACGTGAACATAATTTAGCTGGAACTGTTCACTTTATTCACATAGATTTTAAATTAATTATCTTACTTAATTCGCGTTAAAAGTATAATTTTTCATATTTCTGAAATTAATTATTGAAAAGAAAAAAGCCCAAAACAAATGTTGGATGATTATAATTTTAAAGCTAATCAATATAGATTCACTGTAGTATTGAATATAATATTATTATACGTCCTAAGTATAACAATTAATATCATACAAAAACGAAGTGATTTAGTCACCTTCCCTTTGTATTAATAATGGGTATTCGTCCTTAATTCTTATCAACGTTCGATAGAATTTTTAAGTAAATAATTAACGAAAAAGGATATGAAAGGGTCGGTGCATACTACTTGCGTCCGAGATTATTATCAGTAGCTTATATGCGTCCAAGAGTACTTTTTGAAACAGCCAAGATACGTTCCAACACAAATAAATCATAAACACAGCATAAAATAAGTATTACAAGTTATTAATTACATTTAAAGTTTTTCAAAGCGTTCAGTTTTATAAATACGGTTCGGAAATTGTTTGGCGACAACCGAACATTGACATGGTACGTAATTAATTTTTTTTCACATTGAAACTCTACAACAGCTGATAATATCAATTTATGGATAGTCGCAGATATTATACCATATGCACAATTCATACAATTCGAAAATTAAGTCAATATACCCAAAAGTAAAGGAGACTTTGAAAAGAAACGATACCTTTGTTGTGTTTTTTGAATAAATTGTTGTTTGGTAATGTTTAACTACGAATACTCAAATTGTTTAATGCGACAAATGTATACTATTATAAACGATGTTTTTGTAAAAATGTTTATTCAAAGAAATATATTTTATACGCACTACAGTTGATAAGTAAGTTGACTGAATGTCCCGTGAGGGTTTATCGTTAAAAACGATTGACTTTTGTAATGTCTGCGATTTGCAT